ATCCCTATTGTCTATTTTTTTCCCTTTCCTTTTTTTTTTTTCTTTTTTTTTTTTTTTACTTCATTTTCTTCTTTTGTTTGCCTTCTCGGCTGAGTATTTGCGGCGAGAACACGAACACATGAAGAAGTACTGTTGTATACGATATAAAACGAAGAAAAAAGTCTCGATCGTTGATAGGTTAGGTTCGTTCAAGCTCGAAATCTCTTTATCGCGACAATCGAGCGGAAAAGGGAAGAACTTTATTCGCTTCGATGCGTAATTTCTTCGTAAAATGTTCTTCGTTTGTCGATGCGAAGGATTTGAGGGAAGGGGTGTGGGGTGAGAAGGATGCTCGACAATGAAAGAGTATCGTCTTAACGGATAATAAATTTTATTACATAAGATAATAACGTAAGATTTTAATCAAGTACTTTATCCGCCATATTGAAATTCTTAATAAACTATTAATATCAAGAAATATATTACATTATTGATGTTTCAAAAAGATTTATTTAAATATGATTTGGAATAAATTGTTTATTCTGCGTTTTATAAAATTTCTTTTTTATATTTCTTCTTTTATCAGGAATATATATTTGTAATTGATTTTTTCAAAAAAGATTTATGCATAGGATGATTTGGAAATTTTTCTTTATTCATTGTTCTTTAAATTTTTAATTGATTATTATCGAGAATATATATGTATATTTATAATTGATTTTACATAAAAAGAAGATTTCTTTTGAAAATTGATTTAACAATTTGTGATCGATTTATTGGCTTTCCCTTTGTAAATTTACTGCTATTATGTTAAACCTATTACGTATAAGTTTTTTATGCGTACTTTTAAAGATCAAATGTCAATGTACTTGGAGTACTATCGACTGAAGTATTGAGAAGTTGAGAAGTCAGGTTTGGAATAATTTTCCAAATTGAGATTTGGAGTTCATTGAAAAGTGCTTTAAATTTCAAAGTACGTACACACTTGACGATTTCTTTACAGATAAATCTATGGATGAATACTATTATCTTTTAGTACCTAAATTGATCGGATAATAAAATCGACGTTTAAATCAAGAAACGAGGTCGCTCTTTAAAATCCCATCAAGAACAAAGATTTAGAACAAAAGTGAGAGCAAGAAAAACCAATGAATGCTCTTTAGCACGAAGAACCATCATCAACTTTGTTCATCGTTCCTTTTTTTTTTTTTCTAAAAATATGCGATTATGATTAAAAAATCGATCTGGCAAATATTCGAATGATTTATAATTTAATAATAATAATAATAATATAGATGATAAATGAAAAATTATATTATAAAATTGTAAAAATTTTTGTCGATTTGTAATTAATATTCTTATATACACTACCATTAGAATTGTTAATATTATAAATTTCAAATAATTTCTATTTCAATAATTCTTTCAATTCCAGTCATTAATTTTCTTTCCAAGAAATTCTCAGTGACACCTTTAATCTTTTTAAATGACATAAGCGCATTAACGTAAGTAAATACTTACTCTGCATTGCCGGAGGCGTAATGCTATTCTATACAAAAAGCACACGTATACGCCCTAATTTTCATTTAAATTAATTAATATAAGTAATAAGCATGATGGAGCCATATTTTGAATCGTATCATACAAAAGAAGACTCTTACATTACTTAATACTTTGATATTTGTTTTTTTTTTTTTTTTAATAAATAATTACATTTATATATATATATTTTTTCAATTATTATTATATTAAATTTTTTATTACTAATATCGAGATAAAATTTGAGTCACACTTTAATGGTTAATACACGGGGGCGAATATTTTCGATATTTAAAATTTCATATAAAAAATACGCATATATATAAAAATTTGTAAATTCGTTATTTCATTTAATAAACATACGAGTTAAAACCGAGAAAGTTTTTAACAATATTTTCAACGCGAAGATAAAAGATGATAATGGCGACAGGTGTCTCAAATCGATATCCGGAAATTGAACGAGATTATTTGCCGATGGAATCTTCCGAGTGTAAGAACGCGCGTATACCGGAATAAACGATCGGATTACTCTATCTTTAGAAAGAAGACATTTTTCTTGAAGAAAATTATAACCGTGAATATGCGAAAAGAGAATTAACACCTCTATACCTTATCTCTCCCTACCCCCTACTCCCACCCTACCAAATTGAAAAGTAATTTGGTATGTTTGATAAATGTAACATCTAGTTTTAATATTCTTTCAAAAACTAGTTTCTAGTGAAATATAATTGATATTGAACAAAGTATAATCCGTTAACGACTTATTCAACTTTAGAAATGCATTGATAGGATATTCTTTGTCCTTGATAATGAACAGTATAGAAAGTGAGAATTCGAATCGAAAGGAAACTTTCCATATATCGTTTGGAATATATACGTGCATATGTACCTATGTAAAATTGAAATATCGTAACAAGATTTTATATTGACAGTAAAGAGAGAGAGAGAGAGAGAGAGAAAGAGGAAGAAAGAGAGAAAGGGAAGGGGGAAGAGGGAGAAGATATCACGTCATTCCAATAGAAGGTAGGTCATCGATTCGCGAATATATTTCAAGTAAGTTTGTAAAATCGACAAAAAAAAAAACCTTAGAAATCAACGAAATTCGATATTAAAAATAATTTCGCAATTAGTAAAATAAGAATAAGAAGAAGAAGTAGTAACATACACTCTTCATTTTTTAATGAATTATATAAGAATATATGTTATTAATTATTTCGAGAAAAAAGTTCTTGGAAATCATCGTTAAAGTTGTTGATAAGGGTTGATATGTTTACTTTTTTTCTTAACTGTCTAGATAGACGAAGAAGAATAAGACAAATTGTTGAAATTTCGTAAAGAAAGATTTAGCAGTCTTCAATTTTGTTTTCTACTTTTATTTTCGATGTTCCAAAACTTGAGCACTAATTTATCGGAATCGGAAAGTTTTTCAAAAGACTATTAGCCGAAAGAGATCGAAATTGACGTTTTATCGATTGTAACTTGTGTTCGAAGTTTCTACTTCCGACCGGTGTCATCGTATGCAAGCTTCGAAAAGAGAGAAAAAGAAAAAGAGAGAAAGAGAGGAGACTCGACAATGTGGAGTTACTGACGGATCAGCAAAGAAGAAAGAGAGATATATATATAAAGAAGAAGAGGAAGTTTAATATGCACGGAATAGCAAAGAGATAGAGGGTTTAATATGTACGACGTCCCGAGGGCGTCATAATCGGGAAATATCGATCTTTAGGCGTGTCTACGTATGGTCCATATACTATTTTGATGAATTTCAAATTCGACTAGAGTGGTCTTACATCAATCAAAATTTTAACTTTATTATCATACTTTTCTTTTACGTATTTTTTCGTTATCTAAAATGTTTTTTATTCTATTACTATTTGTTTCTTTTATCATAAACATTATTTCTATTTATAATATAACATAATGAAGTTAATTTTGAACGTATTCTATTCATGGTTTAATATAGGAGAATTATGTTTCATAGAAATAACGTCATGTTTAATTTGATTTTCTATATACGTTTTATCTTATTAAAATTGTAAAATATCCATGTCAAAAGTACGTATGACAAATGAATGTAGAATAGTAATAGATCAATTGAATTCGATTATAAAATGTTAGTTTAATTAATTCGAATCAAAATCTTATTTTATTTAACGATACGTTTTATAAACAAATTTTTTTAAGAATTCGGGTTATACGAGAGTTAATTGTGTTACCGTAATTAGGATTATTGCAGATCAATAAAACATTGTATTATTTGAATTATTTATCGTATGAGATTTTTATATTCATCATAATTCGTTCCATTTCGAGATAAATGGATATAGAATAGGAGGAATGAATTTTGTCAGGAGAGTGATAACAACGAAGGGGTGGGTTTTAACTAACAAGTAGTGTTTGTTTCGAAACGATCACGAGCCGATGAGAAGAGGGTTTCTCAAACGAGAGAGAAAGAGAGAGAGAGAGAAAGGGGTTCTTTAAAGAGGACCGTGCCATTTTGCAAGAGAAAGAGAAGAAGAGGGAGAGAGAGAGAAAACAAGGAACGAAATAGAATCTAATCTCAAGAGAGAAATAGAAGGATAGCAAAATAGAGAAAGAGAATAAATTGTAAAGCGCAGGAAGAAATTCATAATTGAAATCACGGCTCGTTGGTGATTCTGATCAAATAACTATTTTCGAAAGATCACGTCGAGTTTTCCCTCCTAAGGGAATTATTTAGCCCTTTGTGAGACTAAATACGATCGTATACGCTCGTTAAATTTCCAAATTTTTACATACAAAGAATTCAATCTCGTTTTCTGATGATATATATATATCTGGTTGCTTGCTAATCTTTAAAGGAATAATAAGATTTACGTATACGAAATAATTTGTTTTGTTATATTAACAATAAGATTTGTATTTAAGTTGATGATTTAATTCATTTCATTTATGATATATAATTGTCTTCGAATTATATATTTAATTTTATTATTGAATTTTGTAATTATTTTCTATGATTGATTTATCGTTTAATTTGATTATAGGGGAGAACGTAAATCAAGAAAAAGCGGCTATAAATTTACATAGACGTTTATTCATATTAAGATTTGTTGTTACTGGAAAGTTAGATAAAGAAAAAAAGAGAAGAAAATTTCAATCTATAGTTCGCAAACACACGTTCGCAATCTCTTTCGTTTTATAACGTCGTATAAATTCGTCGTATGTACCACCGTTGTTACCAATATCATCGTCACCGTATTTTTCTCTCACTCGTATTTCTCTTAAAACTTAAACATTTCGCAAGTCGTTCTTACCTAACTCATAATTTTGAAATCCATTTTACGTATGATCGAAGGAAAGAATAACCACCATGTGTTTGTGAATATTCCGAAATTTTTCGCTTCTGTCAGTCAAAGAAGTAAAACATATGTATGTAAAAACTCTATTTAACTGTGCGAAACTACTTCTTACTTTTACTTCTTTTTTTATTTTTATTACAGAAATACGTCAGCGAAGGTTCGACGGTACGAGATTGCGTCGAAACGTGCACGGAAAAAGGTAAGCCCTGCCTACAACTATTTTTTAATTATTTTCGATAACACTTTTTTTTTGAATCCACAAAAAAAAGTATAAAAACAATTTTAATGAATAAACTTAGGTAATAAAGAGTTGGGGGGGGGGGGAAAGTATTTTTTACTATTAAAATTAATGCCCCTAATTAAAAATTATAATGAAAAAAAATTATTTTTCTCCAAATAATCCATCCGATCTTTCCATTTATCTTGTATTATTAAAAAAAAAAAAATCACAAAAATTAATTTATAAATCCCACCTCTCTTTGCAATCCAGC